AATTTATTCCAAAATATAGATTCTATTTAGAATTTCTTTACAAAAAATAGGGTGAAATTTGCAATAAAAAAAAAAAGACAGCTCATCATATTTATAACTGCTAGGTTTTCAAACGGCAAGTTTTCAGATGTCTGGTCTCGCGTCAAAGTGTCTTTCACAATCTAAATTACCACTAAAAATATCTCATGTTTTCTTTTCACACTTTGCGCGCCACGGAAAAACTTCGTTTCCAGGTGTTCCTGATTAAAAAAGTATAAACTTCTTTATTTGATCTGGGAATGCTTTAAGGAGTATTGCGTTACAATTTACAGTTATTTACTTGAACAAGGTTACATGGTTGGTAGTTTAATTGAGGATTGGTTAATTGGAAAATTTATAATGACGTATGAGAGCGTTTTGAGTATACTTAATTAAAAATAGTTTTTTAATTTATATACAGTAGGATCAGAATACATTCTTTATATAGGTACAGTGTGGACACGCAAAACCGTAACCTGCATTTCTTGATGAATTTTAATATTAATTATTTTGCTAAGTTCGTATTAAACATGTTTATTCAATGTATTTCGGAAATTCTATAAAATATTTTCTTTCATGGAAATAATAAACTATGGAGGATTTTGATTATAAGCACCACTCGAGATCCACCTAAAATCTTAATTTGAGAATGAAGATGCGCATAATCAAAATCATTCCGGTACAAATTTTTTGCAGGATCTCAGCGAAGGGGAGGACACATAGGTAACAAAACTGTAGAGGAGTTAAAACAAAACTGGATTCTCTTAAATGTAACATGTTAAACAGTAATGCTGATGTCATTGCTCTTACTGAAACATGGCTTAATGAATCTGTGTACACTTCGGAATTTTGTGGTGATGATAGAAAAATATTCAGAAAGGATAAAAACCTACATTTGACCCGTAAAAAGCAGGGAGGTGGAATCCTTCTTATAATAAAAAATGTTTATAATGCTAGCAATATTGATATTTTTGATAAGGAACTTGAAGCTTTATGTGTTCGTGTGTTAATACTTTCTAATACATTTTTGTACATTATTGTAGTCTATTTTGTCCCTAATTCTAAATGTGATACTGACAGTAAGTTTTATGATACCAGATACCATCGAGCGCCATTTCTGGGATAAAATGTCAATAATTATTGTTGGAGACGTTAATATTCCGTCTTATGTAAACAGCTCATCATCTAGTGATGTCCTACTTGATTTTAAGAGTTTTTTTAGCATTGATTATGTAATTTGAGTGTCAACATTGATATATCATATAGTTTATAGTATATTCCGTGATTGTGTACCAAATTCACCCAAGTAGGCACAATTAAGCCTGTTTGGTTCAATGGAGAAATTATTAATGTCACTAAATTGGAATGTAAAATTATTTCGTTTCTAGGAACAGGTCACAGCTACAGGTACAGGTAAATATCAAAATACAAAACAATATTCTGTCACACAAGTTTAACTCATTTTGTTGATAATAAATTAATGAAAGAACATTGTGTTGAGTAGAAAATCAAGCATTGTATGCACCACGGGGATTTTAAGAATATAATGCCCTTCAGGCGAAATATATCCCTCGGGCCAGAGGCCCTCGGGCTAGTTTCGCCTTCGGGCATTATAATCTATATAATCCCCTTGGTACATAAATAGCTATTTAAAATTTAAACGTTTTAAGACCTATTTCTGGGATAATAAGTACAGGACTCTGCGAAAGGAGCTTAAATGTAAAATTGGGATAGCACATAAAAGGTACTTGCTGGAGAGTAGCTTAATGTTAAATCCTAGGTATTTTTGGTCGTTTTTGAAAGGCCAAAAAGAGAGTCATAGTCAAGACATCATGGAGGAGCTGAACCTGGGAAACTGCTCATGCAAAGAAACTCAGTCTGTGACTGAAGGCTTTGCCTCATTTTTTAAATCTGCGTTTGTGAATGATGATACTTCTAATGCCGGTTTTCCACTAAACGGACTGTTGAGTCTAAAATAAACACACAACTCTTGTTTCCATCAAGCGGACTACGTTATGTTTCCTCGGCGAAACAAAACTCCAACTGTCTCAAAACACGCTAGTCTTGAAAATATTTGGGAAAAGTTTGAGTTTGGGTTGTGTTTTTGTTTTGTCTGTTTGGTGGAAAACCCGCATAAATGTGTTTGTGAGCTGTCTGAAATAAAGTCGTATTTTTGTGATGTGTTTATATACGGTAAAGAAATTTTGAATGCTATCAAGAGAATGGATAGGACTATTGGTCCAGATGGTCTGCCGGCATATATTCTTAAGGGGTGTAATGAGTCTTTGGTTGAACCATTTGATATGGTTAGGCAGTGTATAATTGTGAAAGCATTGATGGATATAGATGTTCCCCCTTATATTTCAATTGACGTGTCTCGCAGAGATAGAAAAAGAGAGCTTAATTCTAATAAATACAAGTTAGAAAGTAATAAAAAATGACATGCGCGCGCAACTCGTGGCTGCAGTGTAGCCAGATTGTATTGTTGCAGAACAAATGTAGACAATACAAATCGAACATTATAACATTAAAGAAGTGATATATTGTCAAGTGTTTTACAACGCCTTAAATCAGACAAAAAAAGAGCTTTAAAGTGTATGTTAACATCGATGGCACTTTTATTTTGATAAATGTTTCATCCGGCAACATCGCACAATGAAATTGCAAAGGAATATGTCAAGTATAATCTAACATAACCTTAAACGACACTGGGATAAGTTCAAATAATACGTAAAGTATTAGTTTGCTCTTTGTCGAATTACATGTTACAAAGAAAGAAGGAACGATTAATTCTGAACTTGTCCCTGAATACGAATATGACGCAAGCCCGTAACAAACTCGATTTTCATTGGATGCTCACCTGCAACCCACGAGTTGCGCGCGCAGACCAGGTATTACGAGACACGTCAGTTAATAATAATAAATCCTACCTCTTTAAAAGGAATCATTATGTGGAAATAAAAGGATATAAGTCTGTAGTCTATGAAAGTACATCAGGCATTCCCCAAGGTTCTCATCTGGGAACCCTATTTTTCTTGGTAGCAATAAATTATAGGTATTGTTAATGTGCTGAAAGAGTCCAAAACGTTGCTATTTGCTGATGACTAAATTGTATGCAAGCGTTACTTCTCATATGATGACTGTGATAGTATTCAGCGTAAATTGGGTTGTGTTGCTGTCTGGTGTGATAAAAATGGATTTAATATGGATGTTGATAAGTGTTCCTGTATGTCCTTCTCGTTAAATCATAATATCTTTACCAATCCATATAGTATTAAAGATGTTTTGTTACATAGGGTAAGCTCTCAACGTGACTTGGGTATAATTTTTGATACACATAGATCATTTAATAACCATAGTAACTACGATACAGGATACACAGAGAATAATGGGATTTGTGATAAGAAATACCAAAAATTTTAGCATTGACGTTAGCCTTAAGCTCTTTGACACTTTAATGCTCCCTAAACTAGAGTATAATAGTATTATATGGTCACGAAGTACAATGTATGGAAATCATTCATTGAGGGAATACAGGGGAAATGTTTTCTAAGAAGTTTGGTTTCTATCCTCAACAGGGCTGTGACAAAAGAATTTCATTACGTATGTTCAATAAGATGCCTATGGAATGTCGTAGAACAAGAACATGTTTGTGTACTACCTTTAGGTTGATAAAGGCAAATATGTGTTGACAGTCCTGATATTCTTATGGCCGTTTCCACTAACTATTTAAGAGGAGCCTTAACGATAAGTATTCCCTGAAATGATATGTTTACGCAATCACCGCAATCACCTATATATCAGATGTGTCAAATTTTTAATAAGTATACTTCTGACGTACCTAGATATAGACATGATTAGCTTAAGGAATTTGAAGAAAATTGTTAATGATAAATTAGTGTCTGAATTTTTGTTGTAACTTAGTTATAACTCTTGTAATTGTATATTGTATTTCTAAGACTAAGACTGTAAGACTAAGCGAGTGTCTATAATTGGCTGTTTGTAGCTATTGATACTTATGGTATAAATAAATAAGTAATAGTTATTTACAAGTGCGTTTATGAACATGATTACAATGACGAGTGTGAAAGATTAGAACGACGAGGTCGTAGACCGAGTCGTTCTAATCACACGAGTTTTGTAGTCATGTTTAAACGCACGTGTGATGTACAACGCTTTATCTACAAAACGAAAAATAGGCATGTTTTTTCAATTATTTTCGTTCATAAATAATAGACCTATCTATTTTTACCTGTATGCGCGCGCAACACGAGGCATTGCATTTTTATTGGCTAACTAGTACAGGTGTCCTTTTGTACGCTGGGCATCTCCTTGTCCTTGTTCATTGCCCGTGGTCTGACAAGGATAAAATTATGCTTGATATTCAACTTGACGTAGCTTGACAAGTGATCGATTTGCAATTGTTTGTGTTTTTGATTGACAAATACGTTGCAGGTCACGCGGTTGTCCTCCTTCCTTTTTTATTCCGTGCAAATAATAAGAACGGATTGCTATACGTAAGTCTAACATAATTTGGTACGTTTTGCCTCATCTTGCGCAATAAGCGTTCTGCGTCTTTTTCTATCTAATAAAATTTTCGTATTATTACCTCTTTGTCTTGTAAAATAGATAGGTCTATTGTCTACCTTCATTTTACCTTTACAAGTTTAACTCTGACATTTGTCAAATCACCAAAAATTGTTGTGTTATTGATTAATAACCTAAAGAAGAAAAAATAGTTGTGTTATTGATTAATAACCTAGTCCATAACACGACTAGTTGTGTTATGAATTCATAACCTAGTCCATAACTAGTTGTGTTATGACTCTCACGACATAACTCAAATACTAGCAAAATAGTTGTATAAAAACGTCATAACCAAACGCTTGTAGATAAATAAATTAATGTCACGGATTCCAGGTACACAACTGACACTCGTAGAAAGGGCACAGTGCCTCCAAATGAATAAAAACATAATTTTTTTAGCAAGGTATTCGTTTATTGTCGAATTCCATATTTGGTTTCCATGGGATTGGATTAATATAGGTCACAGATTTAAGCAAAGATAAGCCTGGAAAGATAAATATTTACAGAAAGCTTAGCATGATCTAGGCACAATATGTTCTCTTACTTTTGAGTCCTTGGTTCATAGGTACGGGTTTCGGTCTAAGTTTAACGTGCTCCAGCCATTCTTTGTATGCCTGTTCACTTTCTTCTATTCTTTTGAGCTTTGCTTGATATGATGTCAGCACTGTGAAATTTTGTGTAAGTTTCTTCTCTAAAAAAATTATATAACAATAGATTTTTTTAAAGTAACCATTTGAACAAACCAATTTCTTCTAACTTCTTTTTCTTCAGCCACTCATTAAAGTTATTAACATTTTCTATCTTTTTTTTCTCTTTTCTGACAGCTTCAAGTTTTTCTTCCTCAATTTCTGATATTTTTTCCATTCTTTTTATCTCTTGTACCTTGTTCTTTCTGGCTAACCAGTTTTTAAAATTTTCTCTTTCCTGGTCCGCACATTTTTTCCTTTTTTCCTCTCTTTGTTTCGACATTATTTGAGCAATCTTGTTAGGTTTCTGTTTTCTGTTGTTTTCCTTTTTTTCTATCCAATTTTGAACCGAATTATTGTTCCCTGGAGTCCAACTAATAATTCCTACGGTATCCAGAGCATTGGTTGCATCAGTCACCAGGGATCCTAGTTCAAGTTTTAGTTCATTCATCACTACTTTGTTAGGTTGAACATCCAATTTACAAGTGGAACTAGCACTCTTTGGGTTATCTGAACTACTCGAAGACTGTTCATTTGAAAAATATGCACTGCTTGCAGGTGACTCGTTGGACTTTGAAACTAAATGAGAAATCCATAAAAGCTGTTTATTTTTTTCTAAATATAATATGCTCACCAATAATTGTAGTACAAGAGCTTCTTCTAGATCCATTATTCTCTAGTTCCTCATCGGAACATTCACTAATACGGCTTATGATTCTTCGTGGTGGCTTCTCAATTATTTCTTCTTCAATATAAATGGCGGGATTCACATACCTTCTGACGAAGCGTTTTGCAGTTCCATGCACCGAATTACGATTGTCGGAATATCGATGCATCTCAAATGCAGATGCTTCTGTGAAAATAACGGATAAAAAATGACAAAATTGAATAAGTGCCAAAAATTTGGATGTCAAATGACAAGAATTGAAAGGTGTTTGCGGAAATTATGGGTGGGTCAACCCGGTCATGAAGATCACCAATCTTGACTTTCGGAAAATAATTATAAATTATTGTAGGGAAAGTTTCCTGTTGAATCAATCAGCCTCTCTTGTAGTTACCGGGGAAGCTGAGGGATACTATAAAAAAATTATATAAATGGAAACGACCTATCACTATGATGCTAGAAAAATACAAATAATGGATAAGTTAATAGAATATCTTCAATAACAATGTCGATGTTTTGGAAGATAAATGAAATATTCCCGGATCGTTTACCAATCTCGAATCAGGTTTCACTGATCGAACTGATCCTAGATCATAGTTTCCGTAGCAACCTAGAGTAGATTCTTTTGGAAAGCATTCAAAAATATGTCATGTGCCATGACATATTTTTGTATGAACGCTTCTTAAGTGAAACGAAAAATCTTGAAACTCGCAACCAAGCCACAAGAACTCTATGGCCAAAGACACAAGCATCCAAAAAAGGGGTTAGGCTGGAGACACAATGCCAAATCAGAAAATATCTATATTTTCAAGTTATTCCCAAAAAAAGTGTAGACGAAAAGTTTTCAAAACCCAATCAAGAAAAATCAGGTAAAGGCTACAGACACTGAAGCACAAAATTTGCTGAAAGCTTTGATTAAAAAATCAACATTTTCGGTAAACACGTCACCTAAAAACAACTTTATTCTTAAACGATTTATTTCGCGCATATTTACTCACCGCCTTCGGTGTTTCTTGAATAACCATTTAAAATATAAGTCAAATATTTGCTCGATAAACTACTCTCACCCCAACATAACAAGTCAACAATGTTGTTTGAACACCTTTGATCTAGTTTGTCCACAGAGAAACGGTTTTTATTTTATTAGTTTGCCGAGGTGCTTTATTGGGTCTATAATGGATTTTGAATGGTTTGGAAGCTAGCTCACTGGGTGATAAAAGCGAAGAGAAGATAAAATGCAGTTTCCGCAACAGATAAATAAGGGCTTTATTCATGTGCAATAATGAATAAGGAATTGTGAGATTAGGGCAAGATAAAATATATCTCTTGTATTTTTGATGGAATCATATCTATGTGTGTATCTATGATTTCTAGAAATAGGTAACATTACATAATATTTTTTTTAGCTTCCGCAGAGCTTAGTCACACTAGTTTTAGGCAAAAAATTATATATTTTCATAAGGAATGTATTTGAGTATATTTCAAAGTTTTTACATTAAATATACAAAAAATGACCGCTGCACCATGTTTCCACTTGAATGAACCCCAACGACATTATTAGACATTTCCATCATCTTTTCATGTTAACATCTTCTGACAGGCCCCCTTCATGAATAACTGTACTGGTTCCTTGTCAACGTTAAGAAGTTGCGACAAAACAGAAAGACCCTCTACCCTAAGCAAGTGTTCTTTTTCGTCAATGCGACAGTGGTTTAATGCACAGAGTGGGTGGCCAAATGAGTTTATTCTATGTATGTTCGAGGTAAGACGCCCCCATTATTGCGTCGTCTCCTTTTTAATTCTATGTTTCTTAATTGAATAATTTTGGCTCTGTCTTTTGGGCATCCAAGAAGCCCTCAAGGCCAAGTGTACAGTTTTTGAATAATCATACAACTTCCAATGTACAGTTCTCCATTCGTAGTTCGATCGAGTGTACGCCACTGGTATTTTCCTGTTTCTGACTACCCCCTCAACCTTACCATGTTAGTATGAGGGAATATAAGTACTCCCTTGTGGCCCTCAATAGCCGCTTTGAAGTAGTGTTTAAATTCGTACCTGTGTTGCATGTAGTTATCTGGCTTTGTGATCACATAATAACCTATCTTCACATGGACGCCTCAAACAAACCTTTGCTTGATGACCATTATCACGTCCAATAGCATATTTAGGATTGGTTTCTACTAAATCTACTCATTTAAGAATGGAGTAAGTGCAGTACAGACTTTTTAGAGTCAAATTTGTATTAATGTATAAAAGTGAACACAGAATGTAGACTAACTTCAAGTACCTACTTCTTCTCATTGCTCAATTTCCAATTTCTTAGACTTCAGGGAGATAAATGGTTTTTCAAATTATTCCATTTTGACGATCACCACCAGTCGTTAAATTGAAGAATCAGCCCATCTCTCAAAATGAAGTTGAAATTTACTTCCAAAACAAAACATAAAGTCTTCCTCCGCAAAATACTTGAATCACATTAAAGAGCGCCCCTACATGTTTCGAGGATAGAAAACCTCATCATCATCGATCAAACATTTGTGTTTTTGCTAGGAAAAGATTTTCTATTCTAGTAGTTTGAATTTGTTTGTTGTGAACCATGTTCTTGGGGAGTTCGGATCTGTATTGAATCAATCAAGTACCCAATTCTTGGAAAATCTCGCATACGAAACTTAAAATGATTTCGAACGTTTCCTATTCAACTCACGTTGCTGTCATTCAAATTCGAATCAATTTCCACTTTAGCAGTAAGTATAAATTTTGATCCTCCCATTGAAAACTGATTTCTACTTAATTTATATTTTACCCCACTGTGTGTCGCATCCGTTGACCGCATCCACTCCGGATCCTCAATATCTAACGATGCAAAACATAATTGCTAACTTCTCTTCGACATCCCCCCAAAGTATCCCCTCGCGTACATTTACCCAAACTCGTAGTAGAGGTGAATACATGCGATGAAAATGAAAAATCACTTGATCCATCTCTCGACTCTCACAAGAGATCGCCTGATTGCGGCATTTCAATCCCCCGATCTAAAGGACGTCGCAATACTTTAATGACAAGATGGGTATCCGATTTGGAAGATTTTTCGGCTTTAAATATGTCATAATTACGCTCAGTCGAGTTGAATGCGAAGGGATTAATTTCTCCTTTCCTTCGGTTTCGTATGAAAGCTGTAATTTAAATTTCTTCTTTTTTGCCCTTTTTATATCCGAATTGTAATCAGAAATCGTTTGTTTTCCTGTTCTATAAAGTAGAATTAAAACTTGAAAATGTTATTGATCAAAACGTATTTGTATATTCATCAAAAACACGTTTTACCCTCACCAATTTGGCCGTATTTAAAGCCTCGAGGCTATTGCGTGGAAAATTTCAGCCTCGATAACTGTTTAATCGAAATCCCCTCGTTTTCGAGAAACTAAAGTGTAATTAGGATAATTACACGGTAAAGGTATAAGTGCAGAATGGAGACACGAACACGTTAATTAATTAATAAACGCTACCCCGTGCAGACAGTATAATTAGAACTGTACCAGTTTGTCCGTGAATTATTAAATTTTGATATTTTACTAAATTTATTTAGAACTTTGACTTCAAAAAACTCAATATCTGAACTTTGCTCAGCGCGCATTATTATAGTCCCTGATTGCGATATGTTCATTTCGGGTATCAATACATAATTCGAAAGTTTAGAGATTTAAAATAATTCAGAGAAAAACTTCCGTTTTGATATAGGTAACAGCTAAATCAGGAAAAAGAAACAAGATAAATACTAAGCTACTCCTTCGAGGAGTCTTCAAAATATTTAGAAACTAATGTAGATTTGCTATAAGGTTTTCCCTAAACTTTTGAATTAAGTACCCGTTTTTGTATATTCATAAACATTTCATTGCTAATTCTTGTCTAAAATCTTGTTTCTTCTTACTAGACCTAATTGGCAAATCATTATTCACAGACATGATTCAATGAACGCATAAAATGTAGCTGATAACTTATTTCCATGTGTGACTTTAATGAAGATGTTCAACCATCCGTAAGTAATTCAAGCGTGGCACAATTATTGTCTCATAGCCATTAAAATTTAACATTCAGCGCAGGTGTTGTAAGTGAAGATGGTAGTGTGATGTTTATGGCCTTAGCAAAGTTGTCCTGTTTTCGCATTATAAAATTAGTTCCGTTTACTTTTCATTGTTTTTCTGTGCAAGGAATTTTCGATTCTAAAGCATTTTTTCATTGTATGCTCTTTTCAATATCCCCCACTGAGGCATTTTCTCACAAAACTTTTTTAATTAACGAATCCTTCTTTAGAAACAAAGTTAAACTAATCTAAAAATATTTTGCCCGCCATTCTTGCAACTGATTACTTACACCTGAATAAAATCAATTAAAACGTTTGCATCCGTATAACAATCGGAAAGTAATTTAATCAAGTAATTTCGGATAATTTCTAATCCGTTTAAAGAATTACGGGACTTTCAGGCAGCAATTTAAACTAGCTTTCGATTGAAGTGCCATTGTCTCTTTTATACTATTCAAGTAGGTATTCAAACTAGGAAAATTTAATTATATTCTGTCGTAGGCATCAACTTTCGTGAATCTATCAGAAAAAAAAACTTTTTTGTAATCAACAAAGTGCCTTATTTGAGTGCCTAATTTGTTTTTGCATGCATTCATTATATCTATTTTTATAGGTTTATATCATTTGGCATTATCGAGCTCGGTGTATAATTTGTTCTTTTCTTGAATATATATTTTTTTAAAACATTAGAAGTAAAGAAGCTAAGATAGAGCTGGCGCACTTCCACCCATTTTCCCATGTAAATCTCCTAAGGTCCATTCTGCACTCATAGAACACACATAGCACCTCGTGACTTGTATACCCACCTGTCTCTAGATAGGTCTGTATACAGCTATGCAGATCTAGAGACAGGTCTGTATACAACTAGATAGGTCTGTATACAGCTAGACAGGTCTGTACACAGCTACACAGATCTAGAGACAGGTTCGTATACAGCTAAACAGGTCTGTATACAGCTAGACAGGTCTGTATACGACAGGTCTAGAGACAGGTCTAGACAGGTCTAGAGACAAGTCTGTATACAGCGATTGAACTGATGGGCCCCCAAATTAAGGCGCTTTGTTCTCCGAGCCTCATTTACATAACCTAAAACTCATGACTTAAAAGTTGGCTCCTGCCTCGTGCAACTTGCATCTGCAACTAGACAAGGCACGAGGCGGATTTTATTATTAGTTACGTCATCATTAGTAGGAGGGACCTTGAATGAGGTACCAAGTCATGAGGTCCTATGTGTGTTCGATGAGCCACTCGATGGTCAATGACCCTGAACGATGGAAGTCGCGGGCACTGAAAAGGAAGGAAAGGAAAATATGTATGATTATTCAAAAACTGTACATAGGATTAAATTCATACTAACATGGAGAGGTTGAGAGAATAGTCAGAAACAGGAAAATACCAGTGGCGTACACTCGATCGACCTACGAATGGAGAACCATACGAAAATATACAAAACTGTATGATTATTCAAAAACTGTACACACGATTGAATCCATACTGTATTCTATATATACAGGCTGTATATTTTAAGTGATACCACTATTACTATATCCGAAACGGTAAGAGCTACAAGGTCGGTTAAATTAGAAAAAAGTTGCCTTTTTTGATGCCCATTCAAGACTTGTTTACAATGTTGCCAAATTCCTTTTAGTTTATGAAATACAGGGTTTTTTATGAAAAACGCCTAAAACTATTCCATCAATTATTTTGAAAACTATTGATATTCGAGACACAATTTAAATTTGAAAGTTTTATAATTTTTTTCGCTCTACAACATGGCATTTTCAAATTTTAAATCCGACGTTTCGTCATCGAGCTACCCTCATCAACTTAATTTTTTTAAATACGGACCTGGATTTTTTATATCATTTTTGGAAAGGGAATGAAAGGCGCTACCTAAAAATGATTCAGGTCCGTATTTAAAAAAATGAAATTGATGATGGAGCTCGATCACGAAACGTCGGATTTAAAATTTGAAGATGCCATGTTGTAGAGCGGAAAAAATTATAACAGTTTCAAATTTAAATTGTGTCTCGAAAATCAATATATTTCGAAATAATTGATGAAATATTTTTGGGCGTTTCTTTGAAATTATAACGTACTTATTTTGGCAATTGCCTAATTATACTGCTACGGCTAGTCAGCTTCAGTTCGGAGGCCATAGGTCTATGGGTTCCTTGTATACATCTTACCTTTGGGCGCCACCAAGTTAATTATGACTTAAGTAGGAAGGTAACCTAATGATGTTTAAACAAAACCTGTGCAATTGGAGAGCTTA